TTTAATAAAAAATAAAAAATTCTAAATAGGCATGCACAAGAAAGGAATTCATTTGCTGACTTGTTACGACGACTTATAATACCTGCTTAAGGGCTCCGACATCGTTGGTTCCATCACCGCACATGAGAGTCACCCTTCCGACTGATCTAAATGTTGTGATGATGAGTTCCTTTTGCTCAGGGGCGACACGTGCGAATACCTAGCAAGAAATCAAAAGCCTATTCAGAGAGCAAAATCGGAATTTTAGCAGGGATGCAACGAGAAGGAATCTGTCTAAAGCTTCACCTTAACATATGGAATGACTTTGAGGGTAGAAGAAGTCTGCTGCAACATCTCCATGCAGTCTCCTCCGATGCAAAGATCGTGAGACTCGGATAGAGCTTCAACTTCATTCTCACTGTTAAAAAAGTCGAAGCAAACAAAAGGAATAGGTCCATTGGTCCCAGTAAAAGACGATCAACACTAAAACTAGTAGCCACAGATGAGCGGATGAAGATGTAATAAAATGTACACAAATCAGAAAGAACTACAGATCACAGCTAGCTTGCAAAATAAATGGAAGTCTTCACATCTGTTATTCATACCTGTAGCTAATTGTGTTCGTCTCATCTGGAGAAACCCACTCATAGCCACTATTATTATTGGCACGGACAAGAATTAGTGCGGGTTTTGAGATAATGTTAACTTGGCTAGCTACATGACAAGCTGTCAGTGCTTGATCTCCGGTAATCATTACCTGAAAGTATTAAGAAAAAGAGAGCATCAAAAGATTTTTCAACAGGCCTAATTTTTTTTTTTTTTTTTTTCTAATTTCTTCAGAATAATTACACATTGATGAGCCCAAAAATCCTGGAAACTGAAGCTGGATAAAATAAAAATGGAAATATAATATACACATGCTATCAACCGTCCGTCACCAATTAAACTCAGGATGTATACTTGTATATCATCAATAATATATTGTAACACGACACAACACAAGGGTCAGAAAATAGTCACCAGATCATGCGAAGATCCTTTTAATTCAGACAAGACAGCAGCTGAATCTCCTCTGATAGGACAATTGAAAACCTGAAGCACCAATGGAAGGCATCAAATACAAAATGATATCACATTGACTTGAAGGACAAATCCATGAAAAATTTGAATTAATTCCTTAGTATTAACGTGCGCTATCAATTATACATTTTTTATTAGTATTTTCATGCAGATGATAGTAGACGTGGGAAAGCAAAAGAATCGTGCCAAGCTTTTATCTAATAAGATTTTATACCGCGAAACCAGCAAAAATAAGACCACTTTCCACAGTGTCCCGCTCCATGCTTCTTGCTTCACTAACCTTCAAAAAGGCAACAAAATATGCAGTAACTAAAATAACTTCTATAGGAAAGGATTACTGGTCAAACATCCACGAGAACCAAGAAACTGACAAGTAGCAGTAACAAATCATGAAACAAGTACATGCAGACACACAACTAAACAAAAGAACATGCATTTGCGTCTACAGATGTCACAAATAGACATCGTAATAGGAAACTAAAAAAACCAATACTGAAGAACAAAAGTCTTCTCTGGCGCTCCTAGACTAACATATAGTCTGATGGTCCACATTAATATACTAAAAATCTTGCTTAAATTCTCCACATATAGGACTTCTTCTCCATACTCCACCACATTAATATACTAAAAATCTTGCTTAAATTCTCCACATATAGGACTTCTTCTCCATACTCCACCAGATTCTTTTGCACATATTTTTAGTAGCTAGCACAAAGAAGTGAAATGCTAACAGAGAAAACATATGTATAAATGGCCGCAGTGTGGTGATATTCTTTTAAATATATAGAAAGTATATCATATTAACAATGAATCCAACCGATGAGACTAAGTATAATAGCATTGATCAGCACAAACAACAAAAATGCTAGAGACCAAAGTAACTGATACTCCCACTAACCCGAAGACATAAGTCCCCAGTGACGGATATAGGAATTTCATTCAGGGGGGCCCAATTTTAAATGTTAAATAGCGAGCTTGTAGTTTAAGTCGAAATGCTCATTTAATATAAAAATATATTTACTATAAATATAAATATCGATAGGTGTGTACCATCAAGTTTTTTAAAAACTTAGAATCCATATCACCCTCAAACGTTTTTTTTAAATGAGATTTCAAGTATTTATAATTTAACTTCAACATCTATAAGTAATGGAAAAGTAAGTATTTTAGTTGAAAATTTGATTTAAATTGAACTTTTGTAGCACCTTGCATAACATTTTTGTTGATGTGAGCTTACCAAATGAACAACTTTTAAGAAAAAATAAATAAATAAGTAAATAAATACGTGATTACACAAAAAAAAATCTAACATTAGAAAATATAACAATCCAACTAAATATCGGTTTTATATCGCTAAATCGATTTACAATTAAGAGACCGAAAGAGTAAATCATTATAAATATTTTCAAAAACTTATCTAGAAAGGTAAAATATAATGATTGTTAGTACATTTTTAATAAATAAATATTATTATTAATTTAAATTAAAGCAACATAGAAATAAGTTTCAATTATTAATATATTGTAAAGATTTTTTGCACTTCTATACATATTTTATAGAATTTTTTCATATATATTTATATATATATGTATATATATATACATATATATATGTTGTAAAAAAAATGAGGGGGGCCACGGGCCCCGGGCCCCCCCTGGGACTAATAGGGCTCCGTCTTTGTAAGTCCCATTTCTTATTTTTCACAAAGATTAAGAAAAGTATTCAATATATCCCGTAAACATAAAGCAATAGTCCAGGTTCCTAAGATACCCTTATATATACTGATTACAATGTTGACTAATTACTTTGAAAAGCAGGTAAATTCCCAATTGAATAGGGATATAAAGAGGACATAAATTGAACACACCTTACTGACAAGAGTATAGAAGGGCGATATCGTTTTGGGATTAAAAAAAGGTGATGTTAGGTGATCAAAATAGGATGGATGATGGATTGATATGTAAATATAAATCTGTTTAAAAAAAATCAAGTAAATTAAATTCCATCCAGGTATGTACAAAGCAAATTTAAAATGTCCATGTATCAACAAGTATGCCAAGATAGAATTCTTACTGTCATGTCCGGTAGAGACTTGTATGCCAAAGCCAAAACACGAGATCCTTGACGCGTGTATTTCTTGTAAGTGCTAACATACCATGCAGGCACATCAACTAGCCTTTCCTGAATAGTTTCTGGTGCACCCTGAGAAAAGGGTTCTTTTTACTTTCTCCAGATTTGGGGAAAAATTTAATACATTTATAGATCAAATGGGAGTAGTAAACAAAATACACCCTCCTATGAATTTCTACCAACTATCTAAGTCTGAGCTCATTCACATTCCTTATCATTCCACCTAAAGGGAATTGTAAAAGAGGTGAAGGTCCTCACCATGGATGATTAATATGTTCTTAAATACTTTAACATTTCTCAATTGCATGCTCTATTTTCTCAGTAAATAGAAGAGTGCCTTCTACACATGGTTGTGCACTTAAATGAAAGGCCCATACATGGATCAAAACCTTCATCCTTCACAAATTTCTAACGGTGGTCAGGCAGAAATCTGCCACGCCATACCACCATGGCAAAAATTTGATAACAATGACTGTCATACCTTAACAAAAACCATAAACTGCTCCTGCACGCGAACAACAACTGCCATTCTTTTTAAGTGAGAAGCAAAGTGATGCCTTTGAATGATCTGGACAGTATTATTACCTCCCCTGCATTTAATTTGAATCAAGTTTAGAACTAGAAAAGAAAATGATAGAAATAAATAATTAATAACAGCAGACTGTTAGCAATGGAAACAAATGGAAATTTGGATTCCAACAAAATTAATTTATATACATAAAACTATTTAAACATAAACAAGTAGAATTTGATTTTCTTTTGGGATATAATACAATGATCCAGGAAAAATCCTGCATAAGCAACATCCACTGCACAACAACAAAAAGAAAAATAAGACCCAGCAACCTACTGGATTCCTGCTCCGTTTATGCAGCATAGACACACTTTAGATGTTCTTGGATCTTTTAATGAACCAGGAGAACTGCATTCCCAACAGCTCACCGAATTCTACGGACTAAACTAACACCATCACAAACAATTAAAGCCATATCGAGAGCAATTATCAATACAAACTATATCTACCCCATCTGTGATCAAGAACACATACTTGATGAAAAGAAAAGCTGGAACAAGTACAGCTTTTCACCTTGACAATATTGTGTGCCACAAAAAAAAAAAAGACGTGAAACAGACAACCTAAAAAGACTTAATCACATGCTGATTTTACATTTCTCTAGAGTCCAACCTACAAACTGAAAGTCCAAGTCACCTTCCAGAAGTTTAAAGCTTGTGATAAGTTCCAATCTTGTACTATTCAGTATGGAGTTGTTTACTAAAGATTAACAAAAAGTAGAACTATTAACTAGAGAACAACCAATGATATCAAGGATTCACTTAAATGGAAACAAAAAACCATGTAGCATACTTTTTTGGCATGGCCTTTTCATCTGATTTGTATGACCAATCAATTCCTTTAAGTGCAGCCTTCTCAAGAGGATCACCAACCTACATCCAAGAATGACAAAAAGGAAAGAAAAGAATGAACAGAAAAAATTGTTACTCCAGAAACAGTACAAGAACCAACTGTGACTTCAATAGATAAGGAATTGGTAAAACACAAATGTACAATGAGTCAATGACAGTATCTAAGGATTTCACATTAAATGATTATGCAGGCCACCATGATACTTCTTAATGTTGTGAGGCAGAACCTCGACATTCAGGCAGATATTGAATCCTAAAACTAGCTAAAAGATCACATCTGTCGAATAGTAGATACACCACAGAAACTGATAACCTTGCACAATCACGTTTCTTAACACCAATTCCTGCATTTGAGGAGTTACTATTACCTTGAAACATTCTTAATTTCTAAAAAAGAGAAGGTCAAACATCAAGGAAATTCATTATACTTCCTTTCACTGCATGTAATGGGGAAGCAAGAAGGCTGCTCTGAAAGAATCAGAATACAATAAACTTGTCTTCAATAGGCCATCTAATATGTGAACGATTTCTACAAGGTTGACTCAGGTCAACAAGTATATCTGATACCAGCATAAACGAACCTGAACATTTTTAACCAGTGACCTTTCAGGCCATAAAGGATAGGCTAACTAAATGTTTCATAAGAAAGACCATTTGATAGACAGTTGAATATTGCACTGGAGAATATATTATACCAGCTTATTATCCACGAAGACCAAGGCATGACAAGAAGCAAGAATCTCCAAAGTTCTATCAGGCACTTTAGACATTTCTGTTTCAAGGTCTTCCCCGTCAGTTAAACCACCAACACCAGAAAATTCCTGAGGGCAAAGAGCAGCATTGTCAAACAAAGGCACAGATGATATATGAATTTCAGCTTGAGCGGTCATACCATATCATCAGAAGTTAGTGTCCCTGTCTTATCAAAACAGCATATATCAACCTGCAGACAAAAATAGATCACAAGCACGCAGAAGTGCACTACACAAACCATGTCACATATGGAAACAATACAAACACGTATAGGGGACGGAAGGAATCAACTAAATATTACAGTATTTAACACATATAGTATGACAGAAATTTTTTAGGATGTTTCCAAGAGTAATTGTTGGTTCCAATAGTACAACAATAGTAAGGTACATTCCCGCAGAATTAGATTATCTTAGGTCAAGTCCGTCTATATTTATGCGGAGCAAATATTTGTTTCCAATAATATAATCCCACCGTAATATCACCTAGAGATGGGCGCAGGAAAAAAAAAAGTCACTTGTAAATTTGCTCATTAGAAAATACATATATTATAGCAACTAATGTATCTTGATTTCTAATTACTTGAGTTAAAACTGGAAGTTAAGGATACTAATAATATGAAACATCCAAAAATTGTCTCATCGAATACTTGTGTAACTTGTAATGTTCACCTTTCCAGCAAATGGGATTCTAAATGGTTCTGTACAATATATCCCGCGCCGTGCTAGTGCAATCAATGATGTATTAACGGCAATTGACAGTTCCATTGGAAGTTCGGGAGGGATCACAGAAGTAATAATTAGTGAACAACTCAGAAGAAGCTTGTATTTACTCCTTGTTGGATCCTCAAGCCCCTACATTAGAGCACAATTTAGTCACACAAACAATTGGCATATTCACCACAGAAACAAGTCCAAACGCAATAGCTGAAAATAATCATTAAGGAAACCCACCTTCTTAAGGACATAACCAGCAGCGATCAAAGCAAATATTACTAAGAATAATATAAAAAGACCACTTTCCCAGCTGTTTGCAGTAACCTACAGATTGCATAATTATAAATTTAACAGATACAATATAAAAGGAGAACAAGAAATGAAAGGCTTGATATCATTATCAAATTGCCAAGATCAAAAGTAAAATACCCTCTCAGTAGAGAATAATATAGTACGCATTAGCTTTCCTTGACTTGTTTCAAATCCAGTTCTCAAAACAACTGCTACACAGCCTCCATCAGGAGCTTTCAGGTGAAAAGTCTGCGGCAAGAAGAAAATAAAAGTCAGATAAAAGTGTAAACTCCCTCACTTCGCACACAAGGGCAGTATGTAAAGAAAGGAGTGACAGACCTTGTCTGGAGTATGCTGTAATATTTTCGTACCACCAAATAGTACATGTGCTTTATCACGTTTAGCTGATAATTTCTCATCAGTTGCTCTACCCGTTATTGAAACCTGGAAAGCACACTTAAGTTTTGAGATGAAAACTTTAACAAAAACAAAGCGCTTCTTAAGTTCAAGAGTATGTTTTGAAGATTATATCAGTTCTTAATAAAAGCAAGATTCACATGGTTTCTAAGACAGCACTATCATTCAGCTCAAATTATATAGATTAGGGGGAAAAAAATGGTTAAAACATACATGATATCAAATACAATCTATCATGTTCAAAACTGGGTATGCTACATATTTGAGACTGAATTACTATCTAACTTAGCCAGCAGATCATATGGGAGTAATTTGGCAGGACTGTACACAGTGACAAGGTTGTGTATCCAACAGGCAAAGGACTGTGATGTCCCACATAGATTATAGGTGTCACAGACAACAAGCATTATTTCATGGGGATTGGGGAAGCAAGACTACAACAGTTTATAAGTGAGCTCAATCAACTCTTCCAGCAACATAACTTGATCATATTAGCTGAATTGGTGGTAAGAAATTGCTAGGCGAGCTCATTGCATTATGATATTTCTCACATGTAAAGGGACTATGTATATTTTTGACAAATAGTTATTTTTCCGTAAAAAATGTCGCATTTAAAAAGTTGTAAATCTCCCTAATCTTAATCTACATTTACAACTGTTATAGTTGTTTGGAGAATAGAGAAACAAAGAAAACAATGCAGTCATAATAAAAGAATAAGATCAAATGTAAGAGACTGGGAGCATCACAAAAATAGAAGAAAATAACCTTCCATTGTGGTGTGGACTCGCCAGTCAGAATAGCCTCATTCACAATAGCACTTCCAGCTAAAATAAGCATGTCAGCAGGTACAGACTTGTCTTCTCCATCCAGACCAGTAGAACGCCCAATAGACACGACATCCCCAGGCAGAAGTTCTGTTCCAGAGAGTTTAACCCACCTACAATTTCAATTTCAAAAATGAAGTATGTGCAAACATCAGAAGGGTAAAAGCAGAGAAAAATAAAATGGACAATGAAAGTGGCATCTGTATACATACTTCCCACAGCGATACACCGTCAACATCTGGCTATCCACTTTTACACGTCTAAGCTCAGATAGAGTCTTCAAACGGCTTTTTGCCATTGTTGACTCAAACATGAACAGCATGAATAATGTGAACAGACTGTAATACCAATATTCATCCAAACACCAGAGGCCCACACAGAAAACCTAAATGCAATGCGCAGATGTATCAATTCGAGAAGAAAATGAAATTTCCAAGTCAAGAAGTTATAACAGCTAAAGAAGTTATAACAGCTAATAGAAAAGATATCAAACTTTCCAACCAACCTGAAATACAAAAAAGGGTTCCATGATTTGCTCTTTCATCAATCTTTGGAATGTGGGTTGAGGATATTCAAACCTACACAATCAGACCATACTTATGAGCAAAGGACTTGAATGGACAGGGATTATTCATTTGAAATACATCATCGACGTACATATTGTATCAATTAATGAAGATAATTCTGTTGTGGTGAAATATGTCAGATACAAATTAAACAAATTTCGCTATTTGGATAACCGTGTAGTGTGTTCATGCATAGACAAAGAACAAACACTGCAATGGACTGTTAAGCACAGAGGCGATCACCATCACATGCTTTAAAATTCCACAAATTACAATATCCGGTTTCAAAATTTATCCCAATTAGTTCATTTTAGAGCTCCACCTCTGGGATACTTGCAAAAGAATTGGCAGGTGAGTTTTACCTATAAAAATTCTTGAGGACATCTACTTCTTTTGCACATATCTCAGTAAAATTTATTTTTATATCAAGAAAAACGAAACATTACATATGGAATACAAGTTAACAAACAAGTGGATAAAATTCAAGCATCTTTTTCTTTACAATATGTAAATACTATGCTATTATAATCTGAAGCAAGAACATAAATAACACAGAAGAGACAACATGGAGAGACTTACACATTCCTTCCCCATTTCTCAGTGGCAGCTAGAACTTTAGCTTCTGTGCCATAACCAGTATTCTTGAGATAATACCCAATTGTTTCCTTGGACGGATAAAGAAGCTTAAAAAATGTATTTTTCTCATTCGAGTAAATAAATCGTTGCTTCCTGAAATCAAAGTAGATTTCTTCCAACTCCTGCGAAGTGGGAGAAGCTGCAAACTAAAGAACAAGAAACGAACTGGTAAGTAAGTACAAAAAAATGATAAACCGCGATGTTATCTATTTCGTTTATTTCCATCAGGGAATAGCATTATTAAATGAAGACCTCCCTGCAAGTGGAAACTTATAAAGAAGCATATGGAAAATTCTCAAAAAATTTCAAATTCATTCTTTCACAGTGGCACAGATTAATATTGAGTAACAAGTCAAAACAGCGAGCAGATTGACATGACTGAAGATACAAGTGCTGTAACCTAAATTCAGTATCTACGGAACAATTCTAATGTGCAGGAAACAATCCCAAGCTAATCATACAAATATGAGATGTTGAACTTCTCAAGCGTTCTTTATAACATAACAAAAAAGTTTCGGATATGAGAAAATGTACACAACCATTTCAGATTCCCACAAAACATGTAAACAGGAACATTTCTCATTCAAATTCCAATTCCTTGCTTCAAGTGTTTTGGCATTTGGCAAGCTCAACAAAATGGAAAAGGACTGCAATGCAAATGAAAAACAGTCAAGTGAGATGGAGAATTAGGTGTTTGACCTTCCGAAAGTGAAGTGGCACAACTTCTTTGGAGCCACAAAATTTAGCTGGAGTGATTTTGCATGCATCCGCAGAGTGAATATCTTTAACCTGCTAATATCATTGAAGATAAATCAAAGATCCAACCTACTCACAAGTAATATAGCAAAAGACCATCATTTCACCGAAAGGAACACAAGTTCATTCATGAAAAGCTTGGAGAAAAAAGCATGTCATGAGACACGTTAAGCCCAATCATTGCTTCTACAGTACTATTTATGAGTATCAGGAGTTCAGGAATTCATTAAGAGTTGAGTATAGCATTCTGATGTTTGTATTTACCATATCAACTAGTGTAAAATTTCCCGTATTGGTATAACTTTTTTATTTATCAAAAAATACGTCAAAAAGAAGATGGTGAATAAGAAGATCTAGAAATTAGGCTAACCAATGCACAACACAGCGTCACATTGTATTGGACTATAAATGCATCATATATCAAATCAATCTTATTTACTTTTATGAAATATTAACGTATTTCAAAATCCAGCCGTCCAGATACCATTCATGTTAGCATAACTACCTTAACTGGTAATATATAACAATAAATAGATAAGACACACTATAGCAGGAGATAAAAAGGAAAAGGGAAAAAACACATCTAAACATTGAGGTTTCTAATAGTTATTGGCACCTTATATACGCCTAACAATGCCAACCACTTTTCCCTATCATGACATTTCAAAAGGTTGAAGTTTTGTTCTTCAGTTGTTCAGTTAATATGCAAAGACAATATAAATTATACCCCAGTCTCTACACCATTCATATTTCATATAGGCAAATATGATTTCAGAACATAACATTTATCTCCACTCTCTATGTATATGAAGTATAAATAGTAAGCAAGGGTGCGTAAATTTCCCATACGAAAAATGCCTTCCATCTTTCAAAATAAATATAAATATAATCAAATTTGTTATGTAAAACACTCTATTTCTTTAAAATTCGATGAATGGTAGGGCACGAGAGATTAACCTTTGAATACTGTACGAAGCATTTAAAGTCCACGGCCCAAACAGTGAATAGAAATACAAGAATATGAAATGCCACGATGCCAACCAAAACTACCAAGGCATCACCAAAATCCAGGCTAGGAACCGCAGCTGACAGCCACACTCCATAGAGAATCGTGAAAGGCCACATATCCAACCGCCATGCCCAATGCCTCTTTCGTAATAAATCAACAGCATCTACCACTTTACCACCAACTTGAAACCTCGACATCACGCTTCTTTTGATGGTTCAACAATAGATACTCTGCAGATTCCAAAAGGGTTAACTTAGCATTAACAAATGACCCAGATTCAAAAAATAACTAACTATAACATCCTTCAGCAGAATGGGTTTATATTAAAGCAACATCCGAATACACATCTATAACATCCGAATTCAAGATGAATAATTTAGACCAAGTGCACTAGTTGATGAAATCCCAGAACAGGTCTAAGCGACGTGATATCCAAATTACACATCTCAAAACCAGGATGAAGTACAAAACGAGCCAACATAAACTAAAGACAATAGCTTTAAGGTTTCAATGATGTGCCCATGTCTGCTCGGGATCAGGGCAGAAGGGAGAGAGGAGTACCTGGTGCGTGTGGTCTAACAAGCTTGCGAAAATCGAGTTCTTGAAGGGATTAACAGAAGCGGCACGGGTCGAAGAGGAAGAGAGGACAACTCGGGCTTTTGGATCCTAACCTCGATTTCAAAGCAGAATGGAATAACTCATTGGCCAGGGATCAAAATTGTAGACCTTATAATATAATTTGAACCAAGGGATGATATATTAATAATAAAATTATCATTATCTTATTTTCGGTATGTAAGGCAACAAAATTTTTCCTCAATCTTTCTTTTTTCCTCTATCTTTCTTTTAAAGTTATAAAATATTATTCATTTAAATTATAAGTAGATTTAAAAGTTAATATTTATTTATTTATTATCAATATTTAATATATAATATATCAAATTATCCATGTGTTGATGAGTTTCGATTTAATACCTATATTATGCATACAAAATAAGTAAATAATTATAATTATCATTATAATAAAAATTAAATTATCTATGAATAGTAATTGAAAGATAAAATTATTTAAATCTATCTAACTAAAAAATTGTAAAATTATATAATTTTAAAATAATATTATAATATCGTATAAGTGATGAATGTTTATGTTAAATATAAACAGTAATATAGTTATTAAAAAAGATTTTGAAAATTAAAATAAAGTTTTATTAGTATTATTTTTAGTTTTAAATAAAATATTTTTAACAAAAACATATTACACGGGTATTGTAATTTATTTGGGCTCCTTACCCCTTGTAAAATATCGAAAATGCCCCGTGCTGAAGTATTTTGGTCTGGGGGCTTAATTTTGATTTATTTCTGCAAAACCTAAAGCTACACATCTGTGCGAAAGAGTAGTCAAGGCGATCAGATGGCCCGGAGACTGATCGGTGACTTGTCGAGGAGGCTATCGTGCCCTAAGCAGCTACAGCAGCACCGCAATTTCGGATCGCCGCCGCCGCCGCCCGCCGTCTTCGTCGATAAGAACACGCGCGTCATTTGCCAAGGCATCACTGGAAAGAATGGAACCTTTCACACGGAGCAGGCCATTGAGTACGGTACCAAAATGGTACTTCATCGTTCGATTGGCTCTTCATCTGGTCTTTCAGTTTTACTTCATTCTGTGTTTCTCTTTTTAATTATCTGTATTTCCCTCCCTAATCCAGCGGGATTTGGAAAAGGAGAACAATGAATAAATAATTTTGTGATTTAAGCAGTCATTTGTTAGTTTGTAATCTCTCTTTTGCAGTTGGTCCGCCCTATTATTACAATATTTGTTTCGCAATGGGTCCTAATGGCTTCATAATTGGTGCTTGCTTGTGAATATGAAAATGGATCATCAGATGATGCCTAAGGCATTTGGGAGTATTTTAGAGTTTTAATCCTGATTCTTGAGTAAATGGTTATTTATCCTAGTGGAATAGTGAGCTAGAACTAGAATGTTTTTGTGTGTGTGTGTGTATGTGTGTGTGTGTGAATTATTTACATATTTATTTCACGGATTATACTATTTAGTATTAGGCATAATCCAGTTCAGAAGTTTAAAAATGGCCACTCCTTGTTATTCTAGTGCATTTGAACATATATGGATGTACATGAACATACAGTCTAGATAACATGGGTGCGCCGATGCTTGATTTTTTATTTTTTTATTTTTGTTTGGGGTGAGGTTAGTTGCTGTAGTCAATGATAGATTTGGACATCTTTTAGAAAACGGAATCCAATTGTCTTGTGATGGATGCAGATAACGTAAGATTTTACCAGAACTTAAATTCATAAAGAATGACTTTTAGTGCACATTATTTAATTTTGTTTAGTAATGGTCATTTTTTTAACAAGATATAACTTTTGTACACTGCTTGAACTAAAATTTTCTACAACTTGTCTCTTGATTAATCTACCAGTTGACGAAATCCTTTGAGGCAAGTATTTATTAGAATATTGAGGTGTATAATTGAACATAGATTGTTGTTTCTTTTTTGCTAGTATTTTATTGCCTAAGTCGGATACATCTTGATTAATTATGTTAGCACATGTGTAAAGTTCTTATTCAGACCATGATTCTGAAAATTTTGTGCCATTTTAATTTGGAAAGTTGATCCGTGTTTGAGAGTTACTATAGTGTAACCATACATCAAACATATATATTGGAATATTGGATGCTCATATGCACACACAACTACAAATACTCATAAGCACATACATGCATAAACAGTCACTGGTCTATGGATTCCAAATCGATCCCTCCAAGTTCCTCCTCAAATTCATTAATCCATGCTGAACCGTGGTACTTTTGGGAGTTATAAACCTGATAGTATAGGAATGAACATGAATTTCTTGACAATTGAATTGAAGAGTATTGTTAAAAGCATGTTTATTAGTTTCCGATGTTAAATATATGACATATCATATTTGAATTTATAGGTTGGAGGAGTGACCCCTGGAAAAGGTGGAACCGAGCACTTGGGACTCCCTGTTTTCAACTCCGTTTCAGAAGCAAAAGCTGAAACAAAGGCTAATGCATCGGTGATTTATGTCCCACCCCCTTTTGCCGCTAAAGCCATCATGGAGTCAGTGGAGGCTGAACTAGATTTGGTTGTTTGCATCACGGAGGGAATACCACAACATGACATGGTAAGATATCTTAGTCTTTCGTCAACAATGACAAATTGAGTGGTCTTTTTCAAACCTGATCTCATTGACATAGTTTTTTTTATACCGGAAATTTCGTGGATTTTCTTTAAATTGCTGAAGTAAATGAAAATTTGATTTCCATGCATATTAATCATTTTTTTGGCGTAAGACATGTTATTTCTCCAAACTCTTGTAGCAAAATGTTGATTTATCTTTCTAGGTAACCAAATACCAGAGACAATGTTAAGTATGATTTTCTGTTGCGGCTAGCTGTTTGAAATTCCTTGTCTTAGTGTTTAAGTTTGGGCCTTGTTTGTTGGTAAATGTAATTGACAAGAACTATGATCAGTCATTGCATGCTTGTGACGATTGCTCATGTGACTCCTTGACTGCCGTAGGATGGATATAGTTTCTGTGACATTCAGATATTGATGCAACAGTATTTGTTTCATATTTTATGTGGAGCCATTTCACTGAAAAAATTAAAAGTTTGGGAAGGCAATATTGATGCATCAACAAAACCTGAAAAGTGGCAATTTGTAACTTTAAATTGAGAAAACACAAAGGAAAGCTCCTACCTATTTCTTATCTTCAATAATTATTGTTCATATGATTACATTCTATATTTATCTATACAATATAGAAGCATGAATGATGCCTTTGGTATCACATCAAGTCTTGTTTAATTATACATGATTTGCTATCTGTCTAATGACATCTTAATGTCCTATGTATAAAGTTTCTGAGTCTGTTTCTCATGGTTTCTTGTATCTTGAATTTGATTGCGAAGTAAAGAGTCGTAGCTCATCCACATAAGCTTATATCTGTTTACACTTTTTGTTCATTGATGTCCTATCTTAAAACTTCAGGTTCGCGTGAAGGCAGCTCTTAATAAGCAGTCAAAAACTCGGCTAATTGGTCCAAATTGTCCTGGCATTATCAAGCCAGGGGAGTGTAAAATTGGAATCATGCCTGGATACATTCACAAACCGGGACGGATTGGAATTGTTTCTCGGTCGGGCACATTGACTTACGAAGCGGTGAGATTCATTTTTCATTGCTGTTACACACCTTTTCTGAAGTGATATATTTAATGTTTAATAGGAGTTGGCCCACATATTCGTTTATCATACGATTCAATTTTGGCTGCTGTCTGAATAACTTTGTATGTATTCTCTAGGTATTCCAAACAACTGCTGTTGGCCTTGGCCAGTCAACATGCGTGGGAATTGGTGGAGATCCTTTTAATGGAACAAATTTCGTTGATTGCATAGAAAAGTTTCTTGTGGATCCTCAGACAGAAGGTAAATTTAATCCAGCTATTTTTTTATTCTCATTTGCTGTCTCTCTATACCTCTCTATGCAACAACATACCCAGTATATTCCCAACAGGTTGGGGTCTTGGGGGTCAGTTGTACGCAGACCTTGCCCTTGTAATTATACAACGAGGCTGTTTCCGTAGCGACCCAAGGTGCATTGCGCCGTTTGATATATTTTTTTTTCCTGAAACTTCACTTCACTAATAGAAGAAGCACTAGAATTTAATTGAGCCATTTTGATCTAGTCCATTATTAGCACTATGCCAGGATAATTGTCAAACAATGACTCTTCCAGCTCCATTTGCAATGGACAAATATACCTCTCTGTGCAATGTTATTTTTTAAGTTTCGTGAATGTTTTTCTCAAATACATTTTTCACTGATAGATAATTTGTCGGCCGAAAATAATTAGAAATTTCTATGCTTTTCCCCGCTGACTAAACGGGCTTCTCCAACCTATCATACGTTTGGGGTTTGTGCATTGAATATAACTCAGAACATGTTAATCAGCAAGCCAAGTAGGAGTTGTGGTAGCTGACTCCTGTCACTGATAGTGGTGATGGTAGATATAGATTATGCTTCAGAAGACTGAATCTTGTACATTTACTGATGTTAGCAATTTTGAAATTGACTATAGTTCATCTTGGTATCGTTGAAGATATATTCTAATAATGAGGTCGCATTAGTCATCAGGCACATCACCAGTATGTGGCTAACTTTATTTGCTAAAATCCTGATAGAGATTTCTATCATTAATTTCTTATTGAAGAATAGGAGTGAGATAATAATTAAAAAAAAACTAGCAAGATAAAATGCTTATGTTGCTGCATTGATGAATATTAATTTGGACAGAGATGATTGTAATTAATCATCCTTGGATCAATTTTTATTGTGTTGACTTACATGTAACTGGGAGGGTCATGTTGATGATCAATTTTAGTTTGGCAGGTCTGCCGCAAATGACTGCTTGGTGTTCAGAGAGATATTTTATCAATGAAATGTGTATATTTAAGCTCAGTAGCGTATAATTACCTATGATTAAGGAAAATATGTTGCTCAGATTTTCACGCATTCTTTTGCTGATAGCTAAGATATCACTTTGCACTTCACTTTTTAGGTATCATCCTAATTGGTGAGATTGGTGGTACAGCAGAGGAGGATGCTGCAGCCCTTATAAAGGTAAATACTATTCTCATAGTTGCCTGATAAACTAAAAAGTACTGCCTCTGGACATTTTTTCTTAATAAAGTAGTTCTGTTACTTCTCTATATCCCTTGATTGAAAAAATTGGCATCTAATTGTATTAATGTGCAGTGCCTTTGTGAAGGCTACCTATACATGGAATTGAGTGTTAAATTGTTTAACCTCCGAATAATTTTTGCTTGTGAAATTAATCCTATTGAGTTTTCTGGATGAGCTTCTGCTCAACTTCGTGGATGATTTAATTTATCCTTTACCAGGCGGAGGCAATAATAAGATTAATTCTTTTTTTTCTTAATATTATTGTTTTTACAAGTTTTCCTTGTAATATAGTGGCAATTTAGGATAATAAATGAGTGAAATGTCCACTTGTGTATGACTTGATGACTTCAGTTGATAGTGGTTATGATAATTTGATTTGATGTGCTAAAGTGAGAATGATCATTATTCTGCCCTCCCAATTTTTTTCTAGCAACCAACTCTTGGAAAAGGCTGCTTTCTTAGAGAAAATTCGACATCACTTTTTTTTTACGACAATCCACAACTTTATAAGCTTCTGTTGTATGAGACTGTTACTTCCACGGATTAAAAATCCTGTATTTCTGAAGGATGATGTGATTTAGACCTCTATGTTATTTTCTTGATGCCTCACAAAACACGAAAATTCCGGGTTTTCTGTCTGTTTTGGGTTTCTGATTACCTGCTGCTGATTTTCAGTTACGAATACATAAATTTATCTTGATCCAACTCTCTCTCTCTCTCTCTCTCTCTCTCTCTCTCAATGTAACAGGAAAGTGGAACTGACAAGCCTATTGTCGCTTTTATTGCTGGACTCACGGCTCCACCAGGTCGAAGAATGGGTCATGCAGGAGGTACTGTATCTTTGTAATATCCTATGAATTTATAGTGTCCTCACGGTTTAGTTGTCTTATTCCTATTGATTTCAGTGCATGCATACATGTGAGTGGGATATTTCTCCATTTTAGTAACTGAATACATTCACTTTACATAAATCATGAAAACTGCTCAAATTTTCCTATATATTTAATGTCAAAGCTGGAGAGAGCTGTTGAACAATATTTGCATTTACTTTCATTTCTTTGGCTGGCGAGAGACAGACGAAATTAAATATGTGAATTCAAGTTGGTTTTTTTATGTATACAATTAGCGGGTCAGTCTTTTCTGTTATATTATATATTGATTTGTAAATTGTGTTTGGAGTTCAGTAGCAACTGACTGGTTCATATCTTACTTGCAGCTATTGTATCTGGAGGGAAGGGCACTGCACAAGACAAAATTAAGACCTTGAGAGAGGCTGGAGTTACTGTGGTCGAGTCCCCTGCAAAGATAGGAACTGCAATGCTTGAAGTCTTCAAACAGAGGGGTCTTGTTTGAGACTGATATTACTCGAATGATTTTTTTCCGAACATCTTCATATTATCACCTTTGTTTGCCATTTTCCGGTGGATGAGAATTACTGGTGGTTATGTTTTTCCGCTCGAGCCCTGTGATTGGTCGTAATAACTGCACATTATATTTTTCGAGCAGTTTGTTGCAAATCCAAGCTGCCTGAAGAATAACATTTCATGGATTCTGTTTCAAATACCCGAGAGGTGAATATCGTTTTGCATAAGATGTTTTGCACTGTTCTTAGTGTGAAATGATTTGAATTTCATCTTCTTCTAGATATCTTATTCTGACCGATTTCTGTGTTTTTGAAGTGAATTTTGGAGGATTTTCATTTAATTGTTTTAGATACCGTATCAACTATCAAGTGGTGAATACAAACTGTGCTGGATAGCAACAGAACGCAGGTTTGTGTCTTAATGAGCATTTTTGGAAGGGTGAGATGCAACGTGGTTATAAAACATCATGCATCTTGAATACTTTCTTTAAACGAAAGTTGGGATTTGGGATTAACGAAAAAAAAAATTATTATTAACAAGAGTTTTTTCCCTTCCCTAGTCGGTGTCTAAATAATAGTGGGGACTTGATTTCAATAATATTTTGATTATGCTGTACGCATAAACTTTTTGGTTCTTGGGGATCAACACACACAATTGACATCTGCAATCCCAAAATTAATGTAATTAAATCATATTTAACGTTGATTAAATTGTACAAATTTATTTAATGCTCAACTTTGCTAGCAGCATTAAAACACAGATTTGGAAAAGAACAAAAAATTCCTTTTTCTTCTATGGGAATTAAAGAATGTGAATCTAACAATGTCCGCAATCTCCCTTTCTTCCAATGGGGTGCTCTTAAACTAAACAACCGTGTCGAAGAAAAGAGCTGTAGGCGAACAAAATCAGTAACAGTTGTACAAACTAGGTGGCCTGCAAAGGAGGCCCAGCATGTTAGAAAATTACAAAAAAAAACAAAAAAACAAAAAAAAAAAAAGGTCTCAAAATCAGACCCAAGTCATGGATTGAGATCTATCTCGGGTGATCGTTAATTTTGTCTCTAAGAAGCTGGACCAAGAAGCTTTGCTCGTCAGCTTTATGATTGTGTAAAAGATTGTACAGTGTATGAAGTTCCTCCGTGTTTGCTTTGTTTAAGAGGCCAGTGAGTATTCTTTCGACCCCAACCTCAGATTTTGACTTAGAATCAGCACTTGGGTCCACTGGTCGAGATTCAGATATCTGCATCATTGGCCGTGATTTCCAGTATTCTGTACACGTTCGACTCTTATCCATTGCCTCGATTACCTGTGCAGATAGAGAGTTCAGTATTCATCAAGAAGCATCTATCCATGGGGCATTAGAGGATTATTTACAAAAACTACCCTAAGGTTTTGGGGTATTTACAGAATACTCCGAAAAGTTTTCAGAATAATTAGAGGTCCCACTGCTTCATATATTTTCTCCTATTCAGCTATTCTAGATGAAAGAATTTCAAAATTCCAGTTGCAGTCATCAAGTACTCAAATCCAGATCAGATCTTTAGGGTGTGTTTTGGCCAAGGTTATCCAAATCCGGGATTAGGACTTGAGCTCTAAGAAATAAAACTCACAATCAAGTTCTAGAACCTACAGAAACAAACAAATTCCGACCTATTAACTTATTAATAAACACCCTCCTCTCCAACCTCAATTAAAAACATATTACAACGATCTTTATCAAATAAAACAATATAATAATAATAAGACATTCCAATTATCCCCACATGACCTACGTTCTACACTAGCATTCAAATGGACCAACAAAATTTTTTAATCTTCAGACTTCACAAACCACAACATTCTCAAGTCATTATATATATTGAACAGAACACTAGAAACATCTTAACGGACCCTTAGACGAGTTCTGTAATTTTGAGACTTCTTTGCACTTTTTTTGTAATTTTCCAAACCCAGGGGTAGTTAAGTTATCCAACAATTTTATTGCTCTTCTAGGATTTATATACTAACAAAAAACAACTCAGTAGTTGTTAGAGAGAGGTACATGCCTGTACAATTGCTGGTGAAGAAAACCCAAACATTGCTATGCCGTCCACACTCCCAGGAGGCTGCAAAGGAGGAAGATTTCCTACTTCCAACTTATGCTTCTTCACAATCTCATGATTTACCCTCTCCCTAACCATTTCCCAGCATCTGCCAGCTGATTCGTGAATAAACACTTCACTTGGACTGTGCTCCACAAATACCTAAAAGAATATGCAATTAATCAGCTATTTACTCGTGTAAGAAAACTAAATACACATGAGCACAACTCAGTATAGCAACATTGTTTTCTTTTAATTGCATCTAAAAGCCATTCACGAAAACTCGCAAGGACAGTGTATACTTCGTCAGCTACAAAAAAGAACTAACAAAATATAAAAAGCATTTTTGGTACACACGTGCGCGTATAAATAGTATAATTACCAAAAACAAAGGTCCCTTGCGCCCAGCATCCAGAACCTCCGAAACATAAAAGCAGGATTTTGTTGGATCAAAAATATCTATATACTTAACTCGACTCCTAAATCCTGCATTCAACAGAAAATAAGTTAATAAATCTACTCAATAGAAGCTCCAAAAAGGTAATCGCTGTGTATCATAAATACCCTTTGGGTATATAGCCCGACTATCACCCCAGAACTTTCCACCCCCAAAGTCCAGAGGCTCAACATTGCAGCTGATCCTCCTCACTAGTTTCGCTATACGAGGTCCCTTTTGACGGTAATATCCATCTATATTCTTCACACGAGAGCCAGATGGGCTTGATAAATTATGCATGCTTTCCATTGATCTCAACTCCACATCCTTCTCCTCCTTTCCTTGACTATCTTCACTTTTAGGTTTTCCACTATCAATTAATTGTGGTTTGGAACCATGGTCCATATTTGCATCATCATGTTCAGGAATGTCTTTCTTCCTCCCTAAATCTATTATAGAATTACAAGCCTCAGCATTGTCCTCAACCTTATCTATAGGTTTCTCAGAAGTCCCCTTTACACCAGAAGGTTCTTCACTAAGTCTATCTCCTTCATCATCAGTCAAGACAATGAAATTTTTGTTTTCAGGTGACGACAACTTTTTTTCCGAAGCTAAACCTTCCGAATAATCTATCTTAAGGCCGTTAACTTGAGGAACCTTACACGTCGGTTTTCCATTGGATAATGAACTATCTTTCTTAAAATCTGATGACAGTTTCACTTTTTCCAGAGCCAATACAACCATAGGTGGCTTTGCATCCTGAGAAGCACAAATGCTGCCAACACATTTCTTCTTCTCTTCCAATGTATCTACTTTGGGCAGTGGACTTGTTATCTCCTTCGAAGGCAATCCTTGAGATGATTGCACGGGGGTTTGCAATTTTTCCTTCGACACATAGGAACTTAAAGCAAGTCCCAAGTCATGCCTCGCCCATCGATATACCGAACTCAGTTTTCCCTCCAAAGCCTCGACCAACATTTTCAGTTCGTCCATGTCATAACGGAAAAGGAAAAATTTGGCACCCCACGAACAAGAACACAGCTGTCTTGCATGATTCAAGCATGCGTATTTATGTGGTGAACACTGGTGGCAACCAGCAGCAGATAGATGTAAATCAAATAGGCATACACAGCATTCCTTCTCACTGTCAGCATCAAAAGAGCTCTCCATCTTCAGGGACTGTGTTGATTTGCAGAGGAATTCCCTCCGGACCCCCTCAATCTCGACTCGATCCTGAGTACAAAATAAATTTGTCATTAACTGATTTAGAAGAAATCTTGATGTACACAGGTACTAATATTAGTAAAAATGCCATATATATCCAAACAGTCTATGCATATTTTCACATAAAATGACAGATATTATGAATAATTATTTTTGGACATACTTTGAGTGCTTTTGATAAGATCCCATCCTTGCCACAAACTTCTTTCCATCTCAAATTATTAGAATTAAACTTCCTCAGTAAATTGTATTCCCAATTTGCTTTCACAGCCTCTCTAGCCGCACCCAGCAAAAGTTTATCATGTGAAATGGAAGTTTGGCGGCCTTGTTCACGGTAAAGTTCAATGGCATTTTGTCCGTGAGGCAACCAGTCAATTGGAGCAACATTAACAGCTTCAGCACAGTTAAACCCGGAGTTAAAACCGGCATGATATGCTCGAGGGAAAGTCAGGACAAACTCTCCTGCATTCTGAACACACCTATAAACTGGCACACCCTCAGATCTTAAGATTGATGGTGAAATTTGGGTAACCTACACGTGATTCAAAATCAGGAATCAGCTTCAGTATCCACATAACCAAAAATGGAAGGGTTCACAACACTGTTTATACTTCCATTTTACCACATATAGAACAGATCTCAAGTCCAAATTTTTTTTATGAGTAACAAAACTAAATAAGTAGATGAGGAAAGGATGAAAAATACTTATAAAGTTGAATTTCTACTTTAGCACCTTGAGCAAAGAAATTACTATGCTTACCAACTTATGCAGTAAGTCAGGCTGCTCCTCGAAAAGGTCAGGCAGATGTTTCCTCATAGCTGCCTCCATTTGCAGAGCATTCGACCCCGGAACCCCATACCACAGTTTTGGAGCTCCCCAATGCATGTAATTTAGTGAATACAAGTGATGATCCTCAACATGCTGTTCGCAAATTAACAATATATGAGAAATGAATTTGCAGATCAATTTTGACACTGAAAATAATGAAGTATCATCAGCTNAAAAAAAAAGAAGGAAAAAGTATACACTATTTTTTTAGACATTAGTATTTACATAAAAGTATTATTCTTCTATTCTATTGGTGTTGATGACAAGATAATGCTCTCTGGAAACTTCAACCAGGAAGCTTAACAACAGAGCATAAGAATAATGGTGGGCCTCGTATACCCTGACTCACGTTGTTAATATATCTCTCATTAAAAATTTTCATAAGAAAAAAGCTTCAGATAACATGCTTATAGCTACACGGTCCGACCAAAAACCTATCTTTTCATCTAACATGTTTCAAAATCACATTAACTCTCAATGATTGTGGCATGTCAATCATATGGAAAACACCTTCTCAGTTGAGCCTCCAACATATGTTAAAACTAGAGAAAAATTTTATCAACTAAAATCACGTTGAAGTACCGGCAAGATATATAGAGAGAACAGCATTCACGTGAGGTGTAATACTTGCTACGATTTCAGAATTGAGAATTCTGACTTTTCTTGAGTTCTATGGTGCTCATTTAGTTATTTTTTCAAAAGAATAAAAAACAACATAAGAATTCTTTCTTCATGCAAGGTGTTCACTCCAATTCACCTTGACCAGAGTTACAGAATTTCACATGAAGTGCTTTCGCTGGTCTCCGATGTATATAATTATCCAGGACTACATAACAACATATAGATATGATTGTCTCCTTACCCAACAGAATGAAGAAAAGCACATTCCTATGTAAAGCCAAGGAACCAGAACACCGGATATATCACTGCTTTCATATGAGAGAACCGAACCAGGAAGCCTGGGGAAGTTATTCAAGTTCCATCCTGAATTAACATACTCCATGTCGGAAGTAGAAGCAATTTCTCGTGCATTTCTTGGAAACCCACTGCCAAATGCTCCAGTTTCTACGTCAGCCCCATAAAGCACCTTCAAAGG